GTGCATACCCCACACTCACCACCCAGTTGTAAGTCCCACCCACATGCATGTCTTCACCCTTCTCAGGTCCCCCTTCTCCCTGCCCATCGGCAATGCCCTTTTCTCTGCATTCCCTAGAGGTGCTGTCTGCAGCCACCCCCCTCCCTGACCCTGAGAGGCAAAACAATGCCTTTGAAACTGATGATTTCAGAGACCCCTGACTCTGAGGGTGGTATAACAGTCTCTGATCCAGTGGCTGGACCTACATTGTCTAGCCTGTCACCTCTCCCGCGGTGAGGTTGTCTCTGCTTCTCTGGGGACAGAGTAAGGTCTTCCTCTTCTGCCTTATCCATTATCATCATGTAATGTGACCATCCTTCTGCACATCTGTCTCTGGGTGAACAGCGGGTGGTATAAAAACAAGGACTGAGACTATCCAGGATAGCCCTTGGCACACAGCAGGAGCTTCATAAACGTTTGATGGATAGACAAATGATGGCAATTATAGCTGGTATTTATTGAGTCCCTTTTATGAGCCAAGCTTATGCAAGGCCCTTAGCATACATTACCTTTAATATGTACCACAACCATATAAGATTAATTTTAGTATCTTTGTCCTACAGGGGAAAACTAGGCTCAGAAAGGTTGAAGTCACCTGCCTAAAACTGCACAGCAAAGCCAGGTGCCAGTGGATCACGCCTATAATCCTAGTTATGCAGGAGTCTGCATAACTAGGCAGGAAAGTCTATGAAACTCTCCTATTCAATTAACCACACGATGAACTGGGAATGTGGCTTAGTGGTAAAGTGCTTACTTAGCATGCATGAAGCCCTGGGTTCGATTCCTCAGTACCACATACACAGAAAATCCTCAGTACCACATACACAGAAAATCCTCAGTACCACATACACAGAAAAAGCTGGAAGGCACTATGGCTCAAGTGGTAGAATACTAGCCTTGAGCAAAAGAAGCTCAGGCCTTGAGTTCAAGCCCCAGGACTGGCAAAAAAAAAAAAAAAAGAAAAATCAATTAACCACACAAAAGTCACAAAGTGGAGCAGTGGCTCAGTGGTAGAGCCTTAGCTCTGAGCACAGTATCCATGCCCTGAGATCAAACCTCAGGACTAGGAAAGAAAAAAAAAAAAAGACTGCAATATTTGGGAATCAAGAAACAACTAGAAAGTACCAAGGCTTTGTTTGGCCCTATCATACGAGTGAATCAAACAAGGCACAAGTTTTGCAACTCTACCTCCTGTCTCTCCTCTTTGTTGCTGCTGCTCTACTCATTATTTACTTAGGATCAGCCTCAAAATTGGGGGTTCTATCGCCAGCTTTGACACCACCATCAATTATCTGCTCCTCTGCAGGAGAGGTTGTCCCTTTCTTCCGGAATGCCTCCCCTCCCCTATCTTCCAGAACATGGCTCCTTAGCCACAGTGTGTACATGAGGCCCCCGAGCCCCCCTCCTCCCCAGTCAGCCCCACCCCCCAGAATCCATGCTTCGGCATCTGGAACTATGGTGCCATGTTTTCTACCCCCACCCCCACCCCCCGGTACTCTGCACATGCTATCACCCAGCTGGAAAAAAGAAAAGCCCTCCCTCTCTTCCCAGTCTTCTCTGTTAACTCAATCAGAGCTGTCCAGCACTAACCTCCATGCTACAGTCTCAGTAGAGAGGCCCCTGGACTGTCCTTCTAAGGCTACCAGTTAAACATGTGGTTCCCTACCTGTACCATTATCAGGTGGGAACCTGGCAGGAAGTCTTTAGGTCATTTGGGATGTGCCCTTGAGAGAGGGTGGGACTCCAGTTCCTTCCTCTTCCTCTCCCTTTCATTTCCTGGACACAAGTGGCTTGGCTCTCCCCCAGGCTCCCGGCCATGTAATTCTGAGTTGCCACAGACCCAAGAACAATTGGACCAATGGATCCTGGACTGTCAGCCAAAACGAAACTTTTCTCTTTATGAGTTGATTGTCCCCAGGTATTTGTTACAATAACAGAAAGGAGCTGGGCACTGGTGGCTCACGCCTTTAATCCTAGCTACTCAGGAGGCTGAGATCTGAGGACTGCAGCTCCAAGCTAACTTAAGCAAGAAAGTCTATGAGACTCTTATCTCTAATTAATCACAGAAAAAGCTGGAAGTGATGCTGTAGCTCAAGTAGTAGAGTACTAGTTCTGCAAAAGGAGCTTAGGGACAGCGCCAAGGCCCAGAGTTCAAGGCCTAGGACTGACAAAAGAAAACCAGTCTGGGAGACTCTTTCCAATTAACCACCAGAAAATTGGAAGTGGAGCTGTGGCTTGTGGCTCCAAGTGGTAGAGCAACAGCCTTAAGCAAAAAGAGTTCAGGGACATCACCCAGGCCCTGAGTTCATGCTCCATGACTGACCCAAAAAAAGAAAAAGAAAGTGTTTTCTGAGCCTTTTTGAACCTCACCAGCTCCTTGAATCTGCCCTTTGTCCACAGTGTCTCTAATCCTTTAGCGTCTCTAATCCTCTAGCTCCTTAGCCAGAGTTTGTTTCCCTTCCCCCCTGCATGCTCCCCAACCTTGGCAGGGCCTCCCCACTCCCCAATACCCTTATTATACATTTGGACATGGAGCAAGGTAGGCAGGTTGCGTCATCTCCGCAGACTGGAGGCTTTGGCTCCAGCCATTTTGTAACCTTTCAACACTTGGCGGATTCCTTTTTAGAAAGAGAGCTGGTGTCCAGGAGGTCTGCAGGCCCTGGCGGAAAAAAAACAGGCCTCTGAGAGTTGGGAGGCCCTTGTGGGATGCCCTGCCAACCACCCACAGGTCATTTTCCTGCCTGGGCTCTATGTCTCCCTTCTCCTGTCTCACGTGGGGGGTGAGATCTCAGGTCCATATCCAGAAGGAAATTGTCTCATTCCCAACATTTTTTTTTTTTTTTTTGGGGGCCTGAACTCTGGGCCTGGGCGCTGTCCCTCAGCTCTTCAGCTCAAGCCTAGCGCTCTACCACTTGAGCCACAGCGCCACTTCCGGCTTTTTTCTTTTTGCTTATGTGGTGCTGAGGAATCGAACCCAGGGCCTCTGGCATGCAAAGCAAGCGCTCTACCACTGAGCCACCTTCCCAGCCCACATTTTTTTTTTTTTAATGCAAGTACTTGTACTCAGGGCCTCTGTGCTCTTTTTTTTTTTTTTTTTTATTTATTTATTTATTTTTTTCCTCTGTGCTCTTGTTTGGCTTTTGTTCACTCAAAGCTGGCACTCTACCACTTGAGCCACGCCTCTACTTACTGCTTCTTTTGAGTTTTTCACATCTGTCTGCTGGGGTTGGCTTTCAACCGTGATCCTCAGATCTCAGTCTCTTGAGTAGGTGCGAGCCAAGGGCTCCTGGTTCATTCTAAACATCTTATTCTCCCCAGGACGTTCAAAAGTACATCCCTGATGGTGGACTGCCCCTGCTCAAGACATCTAACCTGACAGTGTGTCTCCCCCCACCCCCAGATTGTAGAGGTCATGTTCACTGGCAGGGCAGAGGGCATAGGCTTCCTCGATTTGGTCTCTAGAGCTAAGGCCTTACCTCCTCTCCCCACAGCCCTCAGGAGAAAGCAGGCCTGGGAAGGGACTCTGTGTTCTTCATGCTACTGAAGCTTCATTTATTTTATTGCTTTTTACATTTTTGTGGTCGTCCTGGGGCTTGAACTCAGGGCCTGGGCACTGTCCCTGAGCTTCTTTTGCTCAAGACTAGTGTTCTACCATTTGAGCCACAGCTGCACTTCCAGCTTTTTTGGTTGTTCATTAATGATGAGTCTCACAGACTTTCCTGCCTAGGCTGGCTTTGAACCGCGATCCTCAGATCTCAGCCTCCTGAGTAGCTAGGATTACAGGAGTGAGCCACTGGTGCCCAGTTTATTATTTTATTTAGTCTTATATTCCTGAAGTTCGTTGGTGTGGACAGAAAGACTATTGGCCTGGGTTCTAATCAAATATGCCACTAAACTCTCTTTAAGAGTTAGGGCCAATTAAATTGCCTTTCTGAGCCTCAGTTTCTCTTGTGTAATGAAAGCTGACCTAGCACTATTCTGAAAAGCACCTCTAAGTTGAGTCCTCTAAGGTGACTCAGTGGGACCGCAGAGGTTGCTTCCTATGGGACACAGTGAACCACCCCTTGGGGTGGGACGTGGGGAAAATGAGTGGTGGGGAGGGGGAGCTGGCCGGGTGGGAACTCTGGGCTTACTGTTATCAAGGAAATGATAAACAGGTAGAGATCCGGAGGCTCACTGTCAGAGGGCAGTCCTGGGTGGTTGGGTAACAAAAAGTTAGTGTGGGACCCTTTCTCAAACAAATAAGCCCATCTGAGTCGTGGCTACAAGGAAGAAATAGGTAGGATTTCTGCTACCTTAGAGGGCCAGCGCTGGCCAAAACAAAAATAAAAAGCAGATACCCTTAAAAAAAAAACAAAAAAATCCCAACAACTGACAAACCAAAGGACGTGGCCCAAGTGGGAGAGGGTCTGCCTTGCAAGGCCTAGGGTTTAAACTCAGTACTACCAAAACCAAAACCAAAACCAGGAAGAAACAAACAGCCTAGGCACGTCCTAGGGTGCTGGGTGCTAGGTTCCCAGGGCTACCAGCTGAGAAGCCTCCCCTGCCAGGCCATGAAGGAAACAGGAAGAGGCGTTTGGACCCTGGTTCCCAGAGTGAGAGAAAGGGGTGGGCACCCTGACAGAGGGAGCCCCGGGGATTGGCAGCGGCTGGGGGCAGGGCGGGAGGACGGCGGGGAGGAGTCAGCTTGTACACGTGAAAAACTCCGGGCTTCTTCCCTCCCCCTCCCCCTCCTCCTCCCCCTCCTCCTCCTCCTCCTCCTTCTGCCCCCCTCCCCTCCCCTCCCCTCGGTCCTCCTCCTCCTCCTCCTCCTCCTCTTCCAGCTCAGGTTGCAGCTTCTCTGGGGGATCCACGCACCTTTCCCGAGCCAGGAAAGCGGCGGGGCCGGGACCCAGCGCGCGGGGCGCAGGGCGCAGGGCGCAGGGCGCGGAGCCCCAGCCCCGGGCCGCCGGCCCCGCGGGCAGCGCGCCGGGGAGCGGGAGGTCGCCGGAGGGGCACCGCGGCGCCGGGCGAGCGGAGCAAAGGTAAGCCGAGCGGCCCTTAAAGGCGCCGGGCTGCCCGCGCCGGGGCGCGCGGCCGGAGGGCACGCGGTGGTCCGTGCGCGGGGGGCGTTGTGTTGTCGTGTTGTGTGTGTGTGTGTGTGTGTGTGTGCGGGGGGAGGGCCACTGCCGGCTTCCAGGTGCTTAGGAGTCTGTTTGGCAGACCCCGGGATCCCCGGGACCCCCGGGACCCCCCACCCCACCCCGTGTCTGGGACTCCCTCTGTCCCCGGGCTCGGCTCAGAACCCACGAGGCAAAGTTTCCACGCAGTCGTGAACGAAGGGTCCCAGGTGACGGAAGACGCAACAGTGGGGGACCCGATGCTCCCCCCTCGCCCCCCGAAAGGCTTTCTGGTCCCTGGAGAACTTTCAGGATGGGCAGGCTGGGGGATGGGGTGGGAGGCCCGAGCCCCGGGGACAACGTGGAAGGACGCGAGATGCCCCAGGGGCGCAGCGCGGGGCTCAGTTAGGAGGGTCCCTGGGGAATGTGCTGTGCACGCTCTCCTGCGCCCTCTCTCCTCTCTCTCTCTCTCTCTCTCTCTCTTCTCTCTCTTTAGCTCTCCCTCTCTCTCCCCCCCATCTCGTGGGAAGCCCCAAGGAACGACCCCTCCCCCCCATCAGCAGTGGATAAAGGGTTAATGCAGCCGTGGGAAAGGCGGGTTAGTGGCCTGTTGAGCTAAGAGACGTGTCCGGATTTCTCTGTGTTGGGGGAGAGAATTAGGAATCCGGCACGGGAATGGGGAATGGGCCAGAGGTGCCCAGGCCAGCCTCTTGCGGAGCAAGTTCCCTGTCTGCAGGCCTGGTGGTTGATTTTCTGTCCTAAAGGGCCAGTGGCACCCCCTGGGCTCACAGGGGCCAGAGAAGCACAACTGTGAGAAGTGTGTGCACAACCAGATCCCCAGAACCTTGGGGTCCCCCCTGCTGCTCTCCCTACCCTTCACCCCATCCCTACTCCATCCCTAGACAACCTTCCCCAGCCGTGGCCTTTGACTGCTTTCATCTTGTCAGCATGCATGCGGTGAGATTCTGCATAGCTGTGTGCCATCCCCACCCAGGCATGGGCACCGAGCACATTCCAGAAATCTCCAGGCCTCCTGGATCATCCGGCTGGCTGACACATCTCAAGATCCCCTACCTGTAGCCTGCCTGGAGGAGTGGGGGGGGGGGGGGAGGGAAAGGGTTCTAAGAAAGCTTGTGGGGGTGGGGGTGGGGTTGCCAGGAAAATGGAAGGCAGTACTGACTACCAGATTGTTTTATCCTGAAGAAGAATCAGGAGAGAGGGTAGTCCCGCACAGGTGATGAAGCTGAAGAAGTGCCCTCACCCCTGACTGCAACCTGGGGGCGTCCCTAAGCCATGAGCTGCCTAGGACGGTCCCCACTGGCTGCCCAGGCTCTGCCCACTCATGTCAGAGTGGCCCTTCCTGTAGAGACCTCAGGAAGTTAGATCTGGTTTCCTCATGCCTTCGTGGCTGTCACTCATGGAATATCTACTCTGTGTCCCAACATCTTCACAAAGCAGGCACCATGATCCCCATTTTACAGGTCAGGCAACGGAGGCACTGAGAGATGAACATTCCCTAAGTTGTGTACAGGTGGGATTCAGCCAAGCCCACTTGTAGCTCACCCCAAGCCCCTGCCCCATCCCTGCCAGGTTCCAGCCCAATCTGGAGTTCTGGGAGTCTGCCTCAGTCTTCAGAGGAAGGAAGGACAGGGCCAGGCCCCAAGTAATGAAGCTCCCGTTTGTCCTGTGCCAGGCAGAGCCAGGCTTCACCACGAGTGGCAGGAGAGAGGGACCAGATCGGGAGAGTGAATAGGCTCCTGGCCTCGCATCCCGTGGGGAGACCTCCTCCTCCGTGGGGAGACCTCGCCCGCCGTTTCAGCAAAGCAGCTCCTACCCCACCCTGACCTCTCCTTTTCCCGTGCTTTGGACTTCTGTCCGACATCTCCCTGGATCCCCTCCTCTGATTTCTTCGTTTCTTTCCTAATTAAGCAGGAGACCTGAAGGAGAGGGAGGGCAGAACTAGGGCCTTGCTTCAACTGGCTCTGTGATGCCCCTGCTCCCTAAGCATCTCCTGAAATCCTCCAGCCTCAGTTTCCTCATATGTCTTCACACATGGGACCCATAATTGGAAGGGGCGTTAGGAGGGGGCGGAGGTGGTGAATTTTCTAGTGATGCCCAAGGGCTGGCTCTGGGGTAGAAACTAAATAAGAAGGCCAAGCCCTTAGACAGAGGCTTCGTGCTCTTCCTGGCATGTGTGTGGAAGGGGGCGGGAGTCCTGTATGGGAGAATGGGGGAGCTGGATGGGAGCTGCCAGGAGGGGCCAGGAATCTGTGCTAGGGTCACCCTCCAGTTCCTAGTGAGTAAGGAAGACTGCAGGATGGAGGTTCCCTATGGGCAGCACCTCCTTTCCCTGGAGCCAGTAGGATCTTTTCCTGGTACTTAATAATTTGCAGTCCCTGTTCTGCTCGGTTGTCCATGAGGGAGTAGCTGGCCTGGGTCCAGACCCACCTGATTAGCTTCACTCCTTTGGGAGTAAGTCATGTTTCTCTGTGTCCCTCCTTAACCCCTCTTTCCTCTACCCTGGATCCTTTGCCCTTGCCCTCCAGGTATTTGCTGCTGAGTGGACACTTTCCTAGCTCAGGAGATGGGGACAGATCAAGGTTAGCCTGTCCTGGCCCTTACAGCACGTACACACACACACACACACACACACACACACACACACACACACACACACACACACACACATACACACACAGAACTTTGATGGTCAGTGGCTCAGTTTCACCAGGACTGGTGCTCAGGCCCAGTAGGGCCCAACCCATGGCACCACTGGGAAGCAGGGAAGCTGTGAGCATATCTCAGCCAGCTCTGAAGCCTGTGGGCACCCACAATTCTGCCTGTAGAGGGGGGGGGGGAACCAGGGAGGCATATGTGAGGTTTGGCTTTGAACTGAAAAGGGTGGATGTTCCCTGGCAGCCCATGTGACCCCTGTGTTCTAGAAGACTTTTTGTTGTTGTTGTTGTTGGTTGTGGGGCTTGAGCTCAGGGCCTGGGTGCTGTCCCTGAGCTTTTTTCATTCAAGACTAGTCCTCCACCATTTTGGGCCACAGCATCACTTTCAGTTTTCTAGTGGTTAATTAGAGATAAGAGTCTCCGGGCCTTTCCTGCCTAGGCTGGCTTTGAACCTCAATCCTCACATCTTAGCCTCCTGAGTAGCTAGGATTACAGATGTGAGCCACCAGCAGCACCCAGCTATTCTGGGAGACTTTAACTTACTCATTTGAAGGGATAGTGGTAAAACTCACTTCCTTGTGGAGGCTCAGTAATTGTCCTTCCCTGTCAACCTCAAAACCCATTAATGAGGTCTTCCCTGAAAATGGGTGGAGTAGACAAGCCTCTTAATGTCTGGCTGATACATTCATTATTTGCCTGTATTTACCTGCTGTATTTACGTCTCCTTTCCACCTTGGGTGGAGGCAGGTTAAGGGCCTGGAGTTACTTTAAATCTTGCCTCTGTCACTCAATAACTGCTTGCCTTAAGGTCAAGTAATCTCTGGCCCAAGTTTCAGACTCAGCTTTAAAATTGGGAGGATTAGAGTACTGTTACCTCATGTGGCTGGGAGCATTCCGATGATTTCATGTCCTCATACTCTTGGCTTTACCTGATGGTATTATGGAGGGCTGGTGGGTGGCACATGGCTGGTGGGCCACCTTTGGCCTCTACTTGACATCTTTTCTACCTGACATCTTTTCTAAAGTGGATCCTGGTAGATATCATAGCTCAGGTCCCAAATTAGGAAAGAAATTCTCTTTCCTAAAATGATTTGTCCAGCCAGGCATTGTGCTGTACACCAAAACCTCAGCTATTGGGAGGCTGAAGCAGAAGGATCTGGTGTTTGACCAGCCTCTGAGATACATAGTAAGAGCCTGACTTTTTTTTTTTTGGGGGGGGGGGGGTCCGGTCGTGGGGCCTGAACTCTGGGCCTGGGCACTGTCTCTCAGCTCTTCAGCTCAAGGCTAGTGCTCTACCACTTGAGCCACAGCGCCACTTCCGGCTTTTTTCTTTTTACTTATGTAGTGCTGAGGAATGGAACCCAGGGCCTCATGCATGCAAGGCAAGCACTCTACCACTGAGCCACCTTCCCAGCCCGTAAGAGCCTGACTTTAAAAAAGGAAGGAAAAAAAAAAGCCTGGAGGCTGAGATTTTGAGGATTGAGGTTCAAAGCCAGCCAGGGCAGGAAAGTCTGTGAGACTTTTATCTCCAATTAAGAAAAACAACAACAACAAAACATCAAAGTAGATCCATGGCTCAAGTGATAAAGCACTAGCCTAGAGCAAAAAAAGCTCAGGGATGGCACCCAAGCCCTGAGTTCAAGCCCCGTAACTACCACATCTGAAGCCTGGAACAGGAAATTCCATGAGACTTATCTCCAGGAGTGGTGGCTGGAGGCCTGGCTCAGGTGGTAGAACTCCAGCCAAGGAGGGAAAGCATCAGATACTGTTTGAGTCCCAGTATGGGGACAGTGAAGAGAAAAAGCTGGAAGTGGAGGTGTGTGGTTCAAGTGGTAGAACACCAGCCTTGAGCACAGAAAGCTCCTGAGGGACAGTACTAAACTGTGAGTTCAAGCCTGCCCTCCCCCCACATGTTCCTCTCCTTATTCTACTCTGAATACCTGTTCCAGGTGGTCGTTATCCCAGGAAATTCTTAAAGAAGCCTGCCCTTTCCTCCTGGCAATCCCCTCAGGAACCAGTCTTTCCTCTGCTCTCAACCACCTAGTAAGGAGACCCTAGGGGGAGACCAGGCCCAGGCTGGGGTGGGGGGTGGGGGTGTATGGCCATCGGGTCCATGTCCTGGTGCTGGAGGACATCAGGTAGAAGCAGCTACATCTCCACACTAGATGGCAAGGTTCCTAGATCCTCTCCCTGAGCCTGACAAGGACACTAGCGGCCAGCACCTGTGCTGTGGCTAGCCCAGGTGCCACA